CTTTACAAGATGTGACAAAAAATGTGGTGAATGCTGCCACCGAGTGCCATCCATGCTTCTCCTCTGTACTCAGGTTGGTTGGTGATGCAGCTGGTATGCCGGACATTTTTATTCCGCCTGTCCAGAACCCCTCTCTGCCCCTCTCCACACTGGTCTCTGCTCCCAGGAGAAGCACTTCAGAAATAAAACACTCAGCCCCAATGCAACATGAGCTTCAGAAAAATGAGTTGGCACTAAATGAATATGTGGGATCCAACCCAAGGGCTCCAACTAAGACAGCAAGCAAAGGAAGAGGAAGCTTCCAGAAGGCAGCTGTGCCTCATGCCTAGAGAGCAACCCAGCCAGATTTCAGGAGGAGGATGGAAGATGGGGAGGGAGGGCTCCAAGGGGACAAAATGAACCAGCAGATCATCTTGTGTGTTGAAGCATTCAGAAAAATTGCTAGGCATTTGACCAATCTGTTGAAGTATTCAAGGAAAACAACAGCAACAAGTACATAGAAAAAGTAATGAGATGGGCAAAGATGCTCAATAATCCAAGCACAGCAAAAGTTGTAGAAAGATTAATTTTGAAGAAACCCTGCAAAGCTGACTGAAGGCCCCACGAATGACCCCTGGGAAAGAATCATCATTTGGATACTTGGAAAGAACCGCCATTTCCCCACTTTGGGAACTTGTGCCGGTCAGTGTTAAAACACAGGCAGAATAGCATCCAAAAGAAAAGCAGCCAACTTACAGCAATACATAGATGCCTACAGGATCTTCAGCCCATCTTCTTCCTCCCCTGCCCAAGAGAGGATGGCAGGATAAGACAGCAGGGTGTGAAGACACCCCACACACCCACAGGCAGAGAGTGAGCCCATGTTGAGGGAGAGTAATTTTGAATCAAATATGAGATTACACTTTAAAAGCAAACAAAACTGAATCGTAGTAACAGAAAAGGCACTTTCAACAACTAAGTGGCTGGGATATTATGGAAATACTATGTCATCAACAAAGCTTTCTAACCAGAGAGAAAAAGAGAAGTTTGGCAGGAAACAGAAATAGCAGCTTTTGAAAAATAACTTAAAAATTGTCATTATAGGAAAGTGGTGGCACCTTGAGCCATAATATTAAATGAAATAAATCAGACACACAAGCTTAAATATCACATGGTTTCTTTTATATGAGAAATGTAAAATGTAAATAAAGAGAAGGATAAAAGTTTGCAAAAGGGAAGGTCAAGAGGTGGAGGGAGGGGGTATGGAGGGAAGGGGAAAGGGTTGAAAAGAGCATCAAGATGTGTTACACACATGTACCAGCTCCTCCCATGAAGATACTAATAAAAATAAAGGGAAAAAATGTTATGTGGTTCCGCAAGAGTTCTCAACCAGACCAGCTACAGAAAATTAGAAAAATATCAGAGGGAGGTCAGTGCTGAGAATTCAAGCAGGCAGGTAGATGGATTGCTCACTGCGGGGTGAATGTGCAGGGAAGGGCCCTGCAGGAGGCAGTCTGTATGCCCAGGTCAGAGTGTCGGGGTTGGATAGGGAGACAGTGGGCAATCTTCTCAGGAAGAAGAACAGAGTAAGCCAGCGAGGTGTTGATGTCACGGATTAGGATGAGAATAAGATAAAATGAGACCAGAGATGCATGTAAGGGTCAGATCTGAGAAGTTGCCCAGATGGCAGAAGGAACAAGATCCACCTTTCCGGATGGGACGAGGCAAAGAGGCACAAGTTTCATGGGGCAGGCATGGTCCCTGTGTGCCACACACAGCCCTCCAAAGTGCCTATGGGAGAACCTGATGCCCAATATGATGGTATGAGAAGCTGTGGCCTTTGGGACGCCTTGCCTCTTCTGCCATATGAGGACACACAGAGAAGTTGCCACCAGGCCCTCACCACTCACCATCTTCTGCTGCCTTGATTTTGGACCTCCTGTCCTCCAGAACTGTGAGCAATCAATTTCCGTTGTTTATAAATTACCCAGTCTAAGGTGTTTTGTGATAACACCCCAGACAGACTAAGGCATGACACCAAAAGTGGAGTATTATTATAACAGATGCATGAATGTGTGGAGGTGGCTTTGGAACTGGGTAAGGAGAAGAGACTAAAGAGTTCTGAAGTCCACTGCTTCGAAAGGAGCCTTCAGGAGCTTGCTCGAAAGGGCACAGAGGATGGGAGCTGAGAGCCTCTGGCTTCTCAGAGGATCCCTAAGTGGTAGGGCCAGTAGAAGACAGGTCTCAGAAAGGAGGAATGTGTTATTGGAAATGGGAGGAAAGGCCATTCTGTTATAAAGTGACAAAGAACTTGGTGGAATTGTGTTTATGTCCCTGTGTTTGATGGAAGGTAGAACTTAATGTGTGATGAAATATTTGGCAGAAGAAATCTCTAAGCACAGCATTAAAGGAGTGAAATGACCTGTATTTTTTGGGTACCTTACTTTTTGGGGGTATGTATCTGTTGACTTACACACATTAAAAAGTGCCTGACTGCCTACCATACTAGCTCTGGTTTCATCTGCCACTGCTTCCTACACTAACTACATTCACACTAACTACTCCCTACATGTTCTCAACTCCAGCCTCACCTACAAACACGGCCTAGCCTCATCTTCCTCCACCAACAGAAACATTTCCTTCCCATGCCTCGGCTGCCTGCCCAAATCAATGGCCTGCAAAAACCATCTCAAACGCCCTTTCAAGCACAAAGTCTGCTGTTTGTTGAACTAAATATAGTATTCTTTTTTTAAAAAAAAACAAACCTTTAATTAAACAACTAATATAACATTAGAGAAAAATGAGAAAATACAAATAACCTAAAGGAAGAAAAATTCTACATCCAAGAAATCTATTGTGACATTTCAGTTGTTTCTTTCCTTGTCTATGGAGGAATCCTCTCACCCCAGTCTGGCTGGTCACTTTAAGTAGAATGGATTTATGCTTATTTTTTTCAGGTGATAAAAATTCCAGTCTTGGGCCGGAGATTTAGCTCAGTGGTGCTGCTTCCTGCCTCACAAGCGCAAGGTCCTGAGTTCGATCCTTGGTACCAAAAAAAAATTCCAATCCAGTCTGACGTCAATACTTGTCCGGAGTTTCTTCCTTGCCGCTCCCATCCCTCTACCTCACCTCTGCCAGGTGTGCACTTCCGTGGGAAACCTACAGTGCAGAATGAGACGTGGTTTGTCCCTCATTAGAATCTTATCTGGGAATCTCTCAGCCTGATCATGGTGTGAAGAATGAAAAGTCAGCACTCTGGGATCCCAAGCTCAAGCCCAGATTGGACAACCTGGCAGTCTTTGAGAAACCCTGTCTCAAAATAAAAAATAAAAAAAGGACTGGGGATCTAGCTCAATGTGAAGGCCTTGGGTTCACTTCCCACACCACAATGAACAAATGAATGAATGAATGAATGAATGATATGGGAGAGGACATGGTGGTAAAGAGATTGGTGGAACAGAAGGAAACCAGATGCCATTCATCAAGCCAACGGGAAGAGTGACCGACCCCACAGACGAGAGGTTGCCTTGCCCACCACAGGCCCAGGATGCTAGGGCCATGGTGGCAGAACAGGTTCAAGTCCTACTCCACCATCTGGCACGGCACTCACTCTAGGCCACTGGAACTGTGCCCACTCAGGCCCAAGTGAGGCTCAGGCACCCTTCCAGAAGGCACAGATGGCGAATCATGGAGACTTCTACACAGTGCCACCTCCACAGGTGTGAGTCCATGAGCTGTGAGGACTGGCCACAGAGGCGCCCTGGAGGGCTTCGGGCCACCAGAGGGAGCCCCACTCCATGTGTAGCTACTGTGGGAGCCATTGGCTCAAACTCCACCAAGGAGAGGGCTGCCAGTGTGGGCTTCTCCAGGCAGTGTGTGGTGGGGCTCCTGGGGCATGGAGGGCCCAGCCCTGGCCTCGGTGTGTCTGGAGCCAGGACAGTCAAGGGCTATTGTCAAGCCTTGCGGCTTCATAACTGTTTGCCTTCCCAGAGTAAGAGAATCTGCACTCAGCTGTGTTGTGACTGTAGAAATCACACACACACACCCTCCCCGTGTTGGCTTTTGGACATAACCTAGGCTTTCTGCTTTTCCTTCCCATAACTCAAAAAGGGCACCTTCAGCAGGGAGCTTTCCCACCACAGGGCAGAGCTCAAGTCAAGGATAAGAGGCATTGGTGTAAAAATCCCGACACCCAGCAGTAATGTCTGTCACCTAACTGGCTCCCTGACACAGCTGAAAATACCTCGTGGAAGGAAGGGTTCGGCAGCCACCAGGTGCACACTTGTGCAGATGACGGCAGGCACCCGCGAGGCCGTGCTTACCAATGCTTTTCATGGCTGAAGAGTGAAAAGGACAAACAGTAAAGATATTTTCTAGTGACAGAGAAAACTTTTAGCACTTGGCTGTTGGAGCACCTGAGGGGCCAAACTTGAGGAGGAAAGATTTTATATTTTATATTCTCCATGTGAGATTCAAGATAGGAAGACATAAACTATTCCTTTTACAACCCAGTGACTACTACTACATCTCTAACTGCAAATATGTGGTAAACTCTTAAACAAAACATGCATAGTCTGTAAAAAAAAAAAAAGAGAGAGAGAATGGATTTTCAAAGTTTAATAAGTAATGATAAACAATATTTAGATCTTCTAATTTGATTTCTTTCATTTTTGAAACTAAATATATTTGAATAGAAAGCCAAACAATCTGATTTCTTAGGAAACATACACACCTAATTTCTAATTCTCCCTTTCAAAGAGTTCATAATTTGAAGTAACTCCTTCTGCCCCTAGTATTATTTGATATTTTCTACAGAGTAATCATTTTACCCTTAGACTGTTTTATACATTTTCATAATCTCATTATATACCCCTCTCTCCAAGTTGCCAAGTGATTCTTATTTGTTTCCCAATTTTTCCAGGTAAGGTCAACTGCTGAATCCATGTGTGGCTCATACAAATTGAGCCAGGCAGGTAATAGTAACTTAGTGGTGGGGTGGGATAAAAAATGAAAAGCGAAAGTCCTTTCATGTTAACATTTTATTTAAACCAGTACAAGCACCATGCTTAACAAAAGACTGTCCAAAATAAACATGCAGTATGAACTAGCAGAGACTGAAACCACAGCTTAAGAAGTTGTGCCAGTTGTTGGTTTTGTTAAACGATGACAGAGAACTGTTAAAATTCACAAGACTAAACCATTAATGTTTCAAGCCTCCTCAATGAGATTATATTGTATCAGTGGGAACTGCCTCAGCATGTTAGAGATCTCAAAAGAATATTCAAGTAATTATATGTACATGAATTATATTCCACAAAGTAAGAAAACAGTTTCCATCACAAGCTCATGTAGTTGTTTTAAACATTACAGGAATATGCTCACTGATTTGAAATGTCAAATGGCCTAAAAAGAAATGTTTCTCAACAATACTCAACTTGGGATCATTGGTTTTAAGTGGCCTAGAAGATTATTTACATTCTTCCAAGAAAATAGGATTTGTCCAGAAATGTTTGAAACACTTCTTCACGTTAAGTTGTAAAGGCTCAAACTTTATAGATTCCAGTATTATCAGTCCACTGAACAAAGAGGGCATCCAACCACACTAAAAATACTTGAACTGACAGAATCCGAGTTACTCTCTACTTCCACCAAATATCAGCATTTAAACTTTTATGAAAATATCTGTTCATCACTAGTCCACACATGGATTAATGACATTGAGTTTTAAAAGTAGTCCAAACAATTTTTTAAGTACACCTTCCTTAGCATCTACATATTTGGGTGGGAGGAGGGTCCCCAAAGTGAATTAGGCAATTAACTCCCTTAACCAGAAATGTGTAGTTAAAGTGTCAGACCAGAATACAGTTTATGGCTACAACTGACTCCTGAAAATAGGAGATAAAAAAGGGAGGAAAGCACTGACAGACATTTTGCCACATGGATTATTCAGTAATGACAATAAAAAATTTAGCAACACCCTCTTAAAACAAGAGTATGTTTAACTTCACTAGGCATTTAGTAAACTGTTTAGAAATAGACATTTCAAACATTTATTTCAGAAATCAGTTAAACAAAAACAATCAACTTTTTTCCTAACATAATTGCTTCAATACCAGAAAAAGTGACTATTATTCAAAACTCAGACATTTTGGAATTCCAGCGTAGTAACCTGAGGACAGTTTTCTTCATATGTCACTTATGTTGCCACAAAAACCATACTAAATTCATACTTCGATTGCTAGTTGGTTCTCTTTTGACATTAGATGCTATGCAGAACTTACTCCAGACCAGACCAATAATTTCAAAACTAATGCTGACTTAGAATACCATGTGGAAGGTTCCAGGGAAAAAGTTGCTGCCAAAAAAGAAAGATTAATAAGATTTAAGGCTGAATGGGAATGGTTACACCAGAAAGATACGGAATGTAAAAACTGGAATTATGAAATTTGTAGTTACTATTTGTGGAAGGCAGAAAAACAGACTAAGTAGGAAATATACATTAAAAGAACAATAAGAAATTTATTTAAAGCAAAGTTTATGTAAATATTTGAGAAACATTTTAGGACATGGGATTTGATCTTCCCATAGGACATGCAGAATGAAAAACACGTTCTACTGATCCCCTAAGAGAACAATCTGTTGTCTTGCAAAATACGTGTTACTGACAAAGGAGCCAAACAAGCTCAAAAAAGAACAGTTTTTTCATAGCTCTTTGCTCCTGCTAGAGAATAAGGGAACTAAGAGTTCTGTGTTGGCAGGTCAGTATTATCTGACATTATGGAGGACTTCCCAAGTTAAAAAAAAAACAAGAACAAATCTGAAGTTGGAAAATAAAATAAGAAATTTTTAAAAAATACACTCTTGCAGCACCAGTTTCTCTTACCGATGAAAACTAGGTAAAACAAACTCTCATTTCCTTCACTCAAAAACTACTCTCCACTTGGATTTCATGTGTATTTCTGCAGAATTATGAGCAAGTTATTCTCCAATATCAAAATACCTATTTAAGACATTCTTAAACTTCCTGGACCAATTTTTCTCTCTGGAAATTGAAATACAGGACTTCTCCATTCATTAGACAAAACAAACACCTACTCTACCAATTCCTCATCTCCAACTTGTAATTGTTCAGACTTCTTGGTTAGTGAAGCCAAATGGTGCTGGGAACACAAGACGCTCGATTCAATGTTCTGAAAATTCCATTTTTATTTCTTTACTAATGTTGGCACAGAACCCTCAGAAATGAAATGCAAAGGACCTAGGAATGGAAAATATGCCAACATAAAAATAATGCCTTCGCTAGTTTTGAAATGATTACAATATTCTTAATATAAGAATTCACTCATCCAATTAGTTAGCCTCTGGTACTTCTGAATCTTAAGTTATGCTATATATTAGTATTCTCAATTTATGGCAAGGGTGCCGTCATCTAACATGACTAGCTTAGTCAATCATTCACATGTCCAGTTTAGAGTATGTTCTGCCATTTAGGATAAAAGATGTGATTTCTACTGATGTGTTATCAACTCTGGTCAAAGTTTTTTAAGACAAGTAATTTTTATATATGGCACAAAACTAATCAGAAATATACCCCAAATTTTCATTCTCAACTGCCATATACTCACCAATTCCAAGTGGATAGTTGGAATTTTAAAAATAAGAGGCTGATTTTATTACAAATTTCAGATACACGTACATTAGAAAACTGCTTTACTTGGACCCTTTAAAAAAAGTGTTAATTTCACCAAATCTAGATTACTGGGAGTGTAAAAATCTTAAACTATAAAACTAACAAATCAAAGGCACTGTACTAACACACTTAAAATAATTAGTGCTCACAAGACATTAGGAGGTGCTTTATAAAGTGTTATTAACCTAGATAAAAAACTATCTAGAAATGACATAAACAGGAAGGAAGCCCTTGGTTATTACAACCCACCAATTTCTAAGACTAAGATGCTATTTTCCATAAGAAGAAAAGCTAATAGCCATAATTCTATCATAAAATCTAACTCTCAGACCTTAACATGTTTCTAGACTTGATTCAAAAGATACAGGAAATCAAAAGAGGTATGAAATTGATGAAAAATGTACTTAGAATGCAGGTTACACTAAATTAGTTACTACTCATGGCTCAAAATTGGGTAATCAAGTCTTTAACTCCAAATTAATGTCAACAATTTGACAAGTGATAATATGCTACTTTCATATATAAACTGCTAATATCCAGTATTTGTCAAAAGGAGGCAACAGTTGTCTATCACAAGCTAATACCCACTTTCCAATGGTGTCTGTAAATAGTAACAAATTCTGAACCATAGTAATACAAATTAGTCACAAGAGTGCAAAAAGTCCCTGGAGAAAAGGGGTCCACCTAACAATTACAAATATAAGGAAACACTTTACAAAGTTTCATTACTATGAAGATGATTTCCTCTTTGTTCAAACTTTGCACAAATGAATTTTTCTTTACTGCGGGAAATAAACTGTAAGTAACAGTGCATTTTTAGGCATAAATAAGTATTTATGTCTGGTTCCAGTATGGTCAGGTTAATACATAAATACTTTAGAAACACAGAAGTTCACATTAGTGGAAAAACCCAAGCTTCTCACGTAACCACTCTTCAGTTAGGTCTTCAGTATTTCTTATTTCAAATACCTTCAGGAAAAAAAAACTTAGATCACATTCTGTCTGAGGCCTTAAAAAACACATTATATATACTATATATTTGAATATTAAATATCAAATTATGCTTCCTTAATGTTGGTCATAACAATCTGTGTAAATCAGCTATACCTTTTAGGCAGCATTTTACTTCTTTTAAATGCTAAATACTCAGGTACCACAGCATAGCAAACAAAAGGGCATAAAACCAAAATTCCCTTAAAAGCACAGATCTGTAAATATTCTCCCATCCAAGTACTAACCAGGCCCAACCCTGCTTAGCTTCCACGATCAGACAAGATTGAGCGCAATCAGGATGGTCTGGCCGTAGACAGAGCTGTAAATATTCTAAGAGCAGTTCTGAAAACGTTACCCATTAGAAGAGACCCTAAAGTACATACACTTAAAATCAATCTAGTCAGGAGCTAGAATACACGAGGCAGATCCTCCATAATTTGAGCATCAAATGGAAACACCTGTTCTGGATTACTTTGCTAAAGACAGACGGGAGCTCCACGGCCCAAATCTAAACGCGAATCTAAATTAACACAGCTCACTAAAGTATAATGGCTATGGCGAGACTGAATTACAGAAGAACAACTGGTAGTGAGATTATTTACAAACGTAACTTGTGAATTGTAATGTGTCAACTCTAGCACTCCAAGGCACACACACGATTAGAAAAGATCCCCTCCTTTTTTTTGAGGGGCGCAGGGGATAACCCCAGGGCTTTGACATGCTAGGTACTCTCTAGCTCCTTTCTAACCACCCAAACCCTCGCAGCAACTCCAAAATGTTCCTATGGTACAAATTAAGAAAAAGTAGTGTCTACAAATTGGTGTCAATGGTGATCATATGGGCTGAAGAGAAAAAGCAGAGGGCACCTGAAGATTTTCTGGGTTCATGCATAAGCACTCAAGGGATAAACACTGCTGCTGTCTTTAAAAGTAAAACCTCAGAGGAAATACTGTTCAATGACACCATATTGTATTTCAAAACCCTCAATGTACACACTGCTCCAACTCAAACTAGTATGTGGAAGTTAAATGAAGTTTGAAAGCAAGTACCTCTTACCCCTACCCTTCAAAAATACCACACGACAATGAGGATATAGTAAATCTTAAACAAGTGCCTCACATAAAATAGTGTTGTGGCTTTATTATATTCTTAACTATTTAATTTTAGATGTGGAAATTGCAGTTAGCTGCATGATACAGAATTCCAGTGCAGAATCTAGTTCATTTTACACTATGATAAGGGTTCAGGAAAGCCTCAATGCTGACCTTTATTAGAAATGACATTACAGAAGATATAGACCTCTCAATAGATTTAAAAGTTGCTTTTCTAAAGCTGCTCACATTTTGAATGTGATTTCTTCTACTCTACTTATTAAAAAGCATATTGTGGTTAAGACCACCAGGATTCTAGTATTTCCAACCAATAGGAAGCTTTGCTAACTTACCGCTGTAGTCTCAATAAACTTTACTTGCATAAAAAATACTTAACCATCCAGTTAACTAATAACTTTAGTTATTGCTCTACACTAAGGAACTAGAATCTCAACAACCAAGTAAAAAATAAATCCCACCTTGGTTAATTCAGCTGTTTGGACTAACTTGTTCTTACTTCCAGCATACATCATCTGTTGTTCAGGCTTACATCCTGGAAAAGAGATTAGTGTAGAAATGAGGTGCAGATTTGGAAAAGAGGATGGGTTTTCATTAATTGCATTTTTTTTTTGGTACTGGGGATCGAACTCAGATCCTTGCATTTGTGAGGCAGGCAGCAGAACCACCGAGCTAAATCCCCGGCGCATTAATTTCATTTTTTGAAAATGACACATTTAGGATTTCCTTTGCTATTTAGTTTTACAAAAACTTTGGTCTAAATGTATATGGGCTCTATTTTGAATCTTATACTGCTTGCAAAAAGAAACATAGCTATAAGTAAGTCTGCAGGTCAGCAAAAATAAATGGCTCCAGACTTCTGTAGATCTTGACTTAAAGCCTTACAATCACTCAAAAGCTGTTCAGCACTATCGTAATTTTGTCACTAAAGATCAATTTTATACATGTCTAAACTAAGTAAAAAATATATAAGAGATGGTGGTGGAGAAGGGAGATCTGCTATGAACAAAAGTTACAGTCTGTTTATACATTAATTTAAAAATAAACTGGATTGTATTTTAAGGACTAAGAAAAGGACACAAAACAATCAAGTTTAGATAATAGTTCAGTGAGCATAGTCTTTCCTGTGGGCTTGAACACTGGTGTAGGGGACTTCTGGTGACAATGGATTCCTTAAACAGCAGTAATTTTTTTTTTAATTTTCATTTTTTGTGATAGTGGAGGAAGAACCTGGGGCCTCAGGCATGCCAGACCAGCACTGTCACCGAGCCTGTCCCAGCCCAATCCATTTCAATACACAATGCAGACTACTTGGGACCCACTCTCAAGAGGACAGGCTGATCACTGGTGACTACTAGAGAACAAATTATCGTGATTATACGAACCTCACACACTTACAATCAAGATGAAAACATATAAGAAAATAAACTTCAGGGGCCAGGAATTTAGCTCAGTGCTTTCGCCGCCTGTTGCGCAAGCGCAAGGACCCGAGTTTGATCCCCGGTACCAAAAAAAAAAAGAGAAAGAAAAAAAAAGAAAAGAAACTTCTGATATCTAAAAAGTGTCCCATTTCAGAATCATTAAAATTTGTGTGTGATTTGACCCAACAATTATACTTCTAGGAACTCACTGAAGAAAGTAAACACTTTGGAAGAGGTGCTGCTTCACATTCTCTCTAGGGATGCTGGCAGGTGTGTGGAAACACACACACACACACCCCCCTCAATGTAGGTTATTCAACAATTTTCTTCTTTTAGAATAGCATAAAATCTGTCGAGTAAAAGATGGTTTTAATTAGACTGAAGCCAAATACATATTATTTAAAGAAATTCACTTACCAACAGGACTGGAGAAAATAAAGCACAGAGGGTATGAAACTCTTCCATCATCATGTTGATATTTATAACTATACACAATGAAGGTTTTTCTCAAGTTAAAGAAACTGAAGTCACTGCTGTGAGACAGTTACTCACCTAGGGAGCTACTGAGTCACACATCAGTATCTTACTCCTTGAGGCCACTCTTCCATTTTTATCTTTCCACAAAATTATACATGGATCCCAAAGGTAAGTTATAAAATCATGTAATCTCTCAAAAGTATGGATTTTTATTTTTCAAATTTTTTTTTTGGAGACAGAATCTCACTATGTAATTCAGTCTGGTCTTGAACCTGGAGCAATCTTCCTACCTCAGCCTCCCAACTGCTGGGATTACAGGCACGGACCACCATGCCCAGCTTATTTTTCAATTTTTATTATACACACAATATAATAAAGGAAATCTCCCTCCTCTCTTTCTCTCCTGTCTTTCCAGGGCTTCATATGTAGCCCAGAGCTGGCCTTAAACTTGCAATTCTCTTGCCTCGGCCTCCCAAGTACAGGGAATACAGGTGAGCACCACCACACCCAGGAAAATAATTTACCTCACAAAAACATCAACTTTTAATTTTTCTTAGTCCAATATATGCACCTATATTTTAACTTGGCTATAATCATGATATAGAAAGACATTATAATATGACTTTTGAAAATCGAACAAGTAAGCTCATAAATAAAGTTGTGACAACTAAAGAAAACAGGTCTTTCTAAAGCACGAGGAAAAGGATATCGAGGTTGTCGTTCAGGTAACTCGTCTTTAAGTTCATCCGGTGAAATGCCCTAGCACCACAGAGAAAGCAACTGTTAAACACTGCCTCACCCATAAGTTCTTATGAGATAAGAACTAACAAACACTAAGAATACTCCCTAATAATCATAAACTAATTATCACATAACACAAAATAAAATCACTTCCATTTATTAACCAAACTCAGAGACGCAGTGCTCTGTGCTAAGTTCCCCCTGTCGGGAAACGGGTGACACAAGCCAGCGCCTCAGAAGAAACATCAGATTCACCCGAGGAGGCTGTTTCATAACTAAATGCTTACATCTGTAGGGTTTTACTTTTTAATCACTTACTACCCAAGCAATTCGGAAGTTCTAAAGTTGACTCACTCTTCATGGGGCACGCAGCCCTATGTGTACCGCTTCTCTACTGGGCCCCATTAGGGAAGGCAGGTGAGTGAGCTAGACAACGTGATTGGAGATAACCAACCCTTGCTTCCATACATAATGAGTATGTATTGAAAGGAGGTTTAGAATGTATTTTAAAAGTGCTTGTAACTGGGCCAGGGATTTAGCTCAGTGGTGGTGCCGCCGCCTGCCTCGCAAGCGCAAGGTCCTGAGTTTGATCCCCGGTACCAAAAAAAACCAAACAAACAAAAAGTGCGTGTAACTAATAAAGCATCTTTTGAACAATAATTTATAACTATAAAAATATTTATCTCATTGAACAAACCTCAAGTTCCTCATCCAGAACCACCAGGCGTTTGTCTTTGTCAATCTTCACTAAAACGAAAATACAGTATGAGTAAACTGTGATTCTACTGTGACCCTGATCTACCCAACCCACAGTCTCGGCCTTTGTGGGGACAATGCTCCACGTGCCACGAGGTCACCACTATGAGTGAAAAGCAGACCCTGGGTCAGGACAGGAGAACCCAGCCTCTTCAGAGTCAGAATTTCATGGTGATCTATCGTTATTCTGAGAAAGTAAATTACCAAGCAGCACTGATATCTGTAATCAAATATATTGGACATGATCCTAAGCCAAATCAAAATAAGTTTAGATTGTCTACACCACTATTCTTTTCCCACTCATCTGAAAAGTTGACCATGCTTGGTTTTGTACTAATGTCACCATGTTTGGTTTTGCACTAATTTAGTAAGCCCTGTGAAATACACTATGGTTTCAAACAGCTTCACCTTGGGTGGTAAAATGGCACTGCCATACAGTTTTACATCCAAGAACCATATGCCCAAGTGACAGCATTTATTTGAAACAGAACCGGAATTCATGACAAAGTGCTACCACCTAAGCACGGTCTCCATAGTTTCCCATTTTCACCCTCACCCTTGCTTCATCTTTAAATCATTATCCGCATATTAAATAGGAAGAGAAGGAAATCTGCAGAGCCTCAGACACTGCTCATAGAGGGGAGAAGCAACATGCAAACCGTTCTTTCCACCTTCAGAAGACAGTGACAAGCACTCTCCGTGACAGGAGAACTCAGGTCTAGAATTGGCATAAGGCCCAGAGTCAGGCTGGACACAACGGTGACCAATACCACTTTGGAAGAGGCAGAGGCCTCTGTGTGAGGACATCTCCCAGGCTACTTCTCGTCCTGAGGAGGATGGGTTGGATGGGTCCCAAGGGAGATTCTCACTCCCCAAGACACAGAGGGTCACCGTCTCAGGAGCTGTGTAGGCAGCTGACACAAGGGGTCCGGGGGAGGCGGGGCAGCCCACCTCTATCTCAAGACACCAGGCAGCTGCTGCTTAATTTTTAAAGGTAGTGCATGGCGGGGGGGGTGGGGGCAACATTACTTTCTGAAGGCCCAGTTTATCCAGTGCAGCTAAAAGATAGGAGAAAGAAAATTAAGATCATAGCTTTGAGGCAACCACTTAGCTTACTTATAATGGCAGCATTGTTCGTTTCTTTGCGAAAACGAAACTTTCTCAGCTTTTCCACTAAGTCTTCAGCAACATCACAAACCACCAAAGATTCACTCTATAAAACAGGAAACAAAAGCAAAAACATAAAATGCCATGACTTCAATATATGTATTATGCTAACTTTCAGACCTACCAATCTTTAAATCTATACTGTTTAATTATACGACTTTATCTATGTAAGGTATACTTTAACCTTCTCTTTGGCCAATAAAGGCTTCAAAAATTAGACACATAATAATGTGCATATTTCAGCAGAATTGGAGAGGAAAAAGAAAAAAAAATTGGAAAGGAAGGGTGGAAAATGAGAAGTCAAGGGTCACCATCTGCTGTTAGATAAGACAATATTTTTACAGTGGAGGAACAGGAAAATCATCTTGTTTTTAGATTTCACAATAATGAGGAAAAATAAAAACAATTAAAGTATTAAAAATAAACCTTGAGTAAAAACAACACTTTATATCCTAATTGACTATGGGCATATAAAATGAGCTATTAAGACTGTATGGGGAAAAAAAGAATATATGGAAGCAAAATCAGATGCAATATAAAAACTAAAAGAATCATTTAGAAACTATGAAAAAATATTACAAAAACTTCCCCAGAAATCTTGGAAGGAAATGATCAAAAGCACTCTTCATTCTAGTCATGTAATGCACTACTGCAAACAAGATGGAAATATTTTTGTTTTTAACACATGAAACTTTGTGGACAGAAGCAGAAAACAGAATAGAGAAACCCTAAGTTCAATCACTCAGCTTTACCCATAGCAATCTTATTTCACCCAACTCCCGCAGCAATGGCCCCGTGGACTGTGTCACCACCAGGCTAGAAGTGATTTCATGTGGAAATAGTTGAGTACGTGTCACTTAACAGACTATGTGCTGGGCCGGGTGCCACAGGCCTGTAATCCCCACAGTTCAGGCGGGTGAGGAAGACTGAAAATTGGAGGCCAGCCTGGGCAGTTTAGCAAGACCTCATCTCAAAACAAAAATGTGTGGGGATGTACTTCAGCTTTTCCTCATTCAACCCCCAGTACTAGAATAAATAAATAAGTGATATCACCTACCAAGGAAAACATAAAGACAGGAAAATCATCCCACCTTAAAAACTGACAGTAATTCGAGTTTCCAGCACCCAAACACTGTCCAAATTCTGTGACTGTTTTAATTTTTTTTTTAGCTTTACTGTCCCAAACAAGTCATGTCACTTTGGTCCCTTTTCATACATAGGATGGCCCCCTCCTCCAAGAAAGTAGGATGCTTCTAAGAGCAATGCTAAATACATGCCTCATCATAATTCAAAAGCTAGCTTCTAATTTTAAATTAAAATAAAAACTTAATAAAACCCTGTTTGCTTGATCCTGTGTTAGGTGAAAGACAACATATGCTAAAGCAAAACTGGCTATTTCAAAGCATTCTGTATCAGAACACTGGTAATATGAACAGTCTGATAAGTATCATAGAATATTATACAGCCGGGGATTTAGCTCAGTGGTTTCGCCACCTGCTCCGCAAGCACAAGGATCCAAGTTCGATCCCCGGTACCAAAAAAAAAAAAGAATAACCTATTATACAACCAGAAAGCACACCCCATCAAAAGGGACTATGAAATAAGTAACACGCCTGTAGCACTTACGTATTTCCATCCTTATAGTTATTTTCAGAGAGATGCTAAATCACAAGGAGCTTCCTGAAGCTAAGATTCAATCCTAGTTCATTATTTTTCTGTCTCTCAAGAAAGATAATGAAGCCAGAAAACTAGAATTTCTAACCTCTCTTTGACTAAAGGTAGAACCCATTAGTGGAACTAATAAGTACTTTAGATTTTTGTTAAGATATAAATTAATTTGTCAGGAAAGTCTCACCTTCCAGCTCTGCTTCTCAGAGCTCTTGTGTAAGCTTGACATCGTGGGATCAGAAATCAAGTGAAAAATACACTGTGATATAATCCGTATGCTCATTTTTGTGTGTTCACCCTTTGCAATACCACAATAAGACCAAAAATGTCTTCTTACAAGGACTCAGACTCTGCCAACTCTAATTGCTTACACTTAGTAAAAGCATTTAGGAATAAATATAATCCCATGAAAACAACTGTGTGGTGAATGTTAACAGACAAGGTAAAGTGGAAAGTGTTTATTTATTGGTTCATCCAATAAATATTTAATGAATGCCTGAACTGTACTGAGAGCTAGGGATGCAATCATATAAAAGGTATGGTCCCTGCCCTCAGGGACTTACATCAATAGAATCGGGCAAAAATAGTCAACTGGTACCCGTGAATAGGGCTAGAAAGGAGACACATGATCCTATGAGAACTTATGACTGATGAAGTACAGCACGGTCACAGGAGTCTTCCTCAAAAATGGCACCTGGGGGACTAAAAGTGCCCATACCAAGACCTCCTGATTTACACGCATACAACATGACCAGGGTATGAAAGGCCAGTGAGACTCAAGCAGAGACAATGAGCAGAACATGGTCCAGAAGAAGTCATCTATATTAAGAATTCTGCTTTCTCTCCCATGGGCAAAGGGAAGGCAGTAAGGTTTTTTAAGTAGGGTAGGGAAGGAAAACATGATCACATTTATTTGCATTTAGAAACAATCATATGTGCTGTGGTATACAGGAAACGGGCAGAGAGCCACGACGAATACAGTGAGACTAGTTAGCAGGCAAAGATAGTCCAGGCGAGAGAGGAAAAGTAGCCTAGAGAAGGTGATGATGAGAATAAAGAAAAGTGAATTATGCTAGTAACAGTTAACACGTATTAAACACCACAAAATACTGCTGTGTCCTTTACAGATTTCTCTTCATGTTCACAACAGCCCATGAGATGAGTACTATTATCATCCCCATTTTAGATCTTTTTTTTTTTTTTTTTTGGTACCGGGGATCGAACTTGGGTCCTTGCACTTTCGAGGCAGGCGTCAGAACCACTGAGCTAAATCCCCGACCCTATCATGCCCATTTTGCAAAAAAAAAAAAAGCTTAGCCAGGTCAAGTATCTTCTCCAAAATTATGAAGCCGGTGGAGCTCCCATTCTCTTAACCACACAAAGGAGATAGCAGCAGAGCGCTATAGGGGAAGTTGAGTGGATAAAGAAAAAGAGGCGTTACAAATATGTCTCCTAGCCTTCTGGCTTGTATGACAGAAGGAACGGCACAACCTTTCACTGAGTTGTTACACAACACTGCAAGATCAGGTTTGAGGGGAAACAGCATGACTCCTTTTTGGACAAAATGAGGTGGTTTTGAGGCATCCAAGTTGTGAAAGATTCCCAGGGATGTCAGGGAGCACAGTATAAAATCTGGACTGGATCTCAGAAGCAGGATATAAATTCACAAGTTATCTGAATATAGGTGGAGACTGAAGCCACGATGTAAGAGAGAACACAGAATGGAAAATGAAGGATTAGGACAGAGCCTAGGACTCCTACGTGCACTTTCCGGGGAAAGGAGAATCAGGCATAGCAAACAGATGGGCCACCAAGAGGTGGAGGAGGAAAACCAAGAGTTCTGTATCCCAGAACCAAGGAGGAAGCATAAGGGGACAGAATGCTTCAAAAAGTAGAGTGTCAATACCCTGGAATGGAGCTGGAATATCAGAAAAAATGAAAACTGAAAGAGTCCATTGATTTCATTAATCTCCACAAGATCTACTGGATGGAAGTGGGTTCCAAAGTGAACAGGTCAGAGATAGAGCAATGTTTTTCTGGTGTTCCTTCTGATGAAACTTAGGCACATTTTAAAATCTGTTGGGAAAGACCGAGAAGATCCTTACTGGCAATTGATCTAATGCTGCACTTTATTTTTATGTTTGGGCCCCACCGTATAGGAGAACGGAAGCCATAGCCCCCAGACTCAGCAAATTAAATCTTTGACAGTTATTTTAAGGCCAAGCGCCAACGCCTTAGGTCAAAGGGTTCCAATTGCTGTAATCAGAAGAATGCAAGGATCAGGAGAAATCTTCAGTGGGAGGGGGCAGGCGGAAGCTAAGGCGAGGCCGAGGGAAGGCAGTCAGAACTCGAGTGCCTGCGAAGCCGCTACGCAGAAGGTTCCCGGGGCAAGTCACCCGTCGGCCCCTGCCTTCGTGACAGCGCCAGGGACATTGTCGTTTGGGAAACCCTCCGCTGGGCCGGACCCCGCTCCTCGACCCTGCTCCCGGCTCCATCAGCGGGGCCCGGCGAAGACTACCTCTTCCCAGCCGAGGCCGCACCCTCCTCCCGGGCTCCGCCGGGCGGCCGACCCGGGTGGGACGGAGGATGCTCCTGCCAGCAACGGAACCCACCCCAAGCGCTGCCCGTCGCTGTGGACAGCAGCAAAGCCGGGGAGCTGGCTGAGCCAGCCCTCTGGCCCCCGCCCTTCCCAGAGTAGCTCACCATTTTCCTTCCGGCCGTCTGCAGCCCTTCGCCTCCTCCTCGGCCCCTTTAAGAATGGTGCGGCGGCCGCCTCCCTTCCGGCCCCGGCGCCCAGCTGAGTCGCTCCAGCCTATCAGCGCGGGAGCAGCCGGCACGTGACAGAGGACGGCAGGAGGCGCGGCTCAAAACTAGCCGGTACGCGTGCGCTCGCTTCTCCCCTTGCCTGCTGGGGTGGAGGCAGTGCTTTCTGCAGTCGTGCTCGTAGTCACAGAGTCACCCAAACAGGTGGAGTACTGGAAAACCTGAGGAGATTAGAGTTCCTTCTTTCCCTGACTCGCCCTCTCTCCCCTAGCCCCTCCCCTCCCCTGAACGGGAGTGGTGTCTCAGTTTTCCTTCTTTTCCTCCTTCCAGCTAGCAGGAATATGGACACGATGGCTGGAAGGTGGAGCAGTCATTTTAGATCATGAGGTGACCTCTGGAATGGGGGCCAGACACAGTGGAGGAAAATAGGCCTCTGGGTCCCTTGTGCAGTGAGGCCTTATGTTGTCTCCGCATTCCCTACCTCAGGACTTTCAATTGAGAAAAATACATTTATCTTGATTAAGACAGTTATTGTTGGGGTTTTGTCATTCACAGGTAAAAACCATTTCTAACTATAATCCACTTTGCTCCAAGTTGTCTTCACCATCTTGATCAGAGTTGGCAGTATTTCTTGCCTGGCTTTTTGACAGAATCTAGTAATTGATATCTCCATATTTCCTGGCATCCTCTTTAGCCTCTTTCCAATCAGTTTTCGAGGCAGTAAAGTGATCGGCTACAAATGCAAATAGATTGTTGCTCTTGACCCCTTCAAGCAGGTCAGTGGTTTTTTGTTGCTCTTAGGGTAAACTTAAGTAGTTAAGAAGGCAAGACTCCTGTGTGGTCTGGCCATCACCATGAAAGTATGAGCTGAGTTTCTCCTAACTCACCATACTTCAGCTGCACTGGCCTTCCAGTTTTTCAAGTGTGTTGTGCTTTCTGCCACCTCAAGGACTTTGTTTTCTGTAGCTTGTGCCCTAAATGCCTCTGTCTCTTCTGACCCTTTGGTAAACCTCTTACATCAAATCTCATCTCAGTCATCTGTTCCTAGGGGAAATTTCCCCTGATGTACCTTATATTCCTCCATCACCTCATTATAAGTTCTCAGACCTCTATGTACCTCTCTTAAATAGCACTTACAATTTTGTTCAGAGTTCTTTGGTTAATGTTTATCTTTTCCACTAGATAAACTCCATAAGAAAAGGTAATATGCCATTTTTATTGTTTTTCTGATGCTTGTACCATGTCTAGCACATATAAAATGCTTACTAAATAATTTTTAAATGAGTAAATGAGAGATAAGAGGGAGTCATGTCGTGTAAAAGTAGGTATGCCAAACAATAAACTTGCAGACTTTGTCCTCGAGGAAATACAACATGACAACCAAGATTTTCAGCAGAAGAGTAAAATATGTGCTATAAAAAGTCAGCCTTGCTAACACTGTACAGAATACCTTGGGAAAAAAAATCTGTTGGAAGGAGAGATGCATGTTTCCCTGTTGTAGTAGAAATTCACGAGGGAAGTGATAAGAGCCTGAGGTAAGTTTGTGTTCCTGTTCTTCTAGAGAATCCTTCAGTATAAACCAGGTTAGGTAGCAGTTTTCTTTCTTTCTTTTTTTTTTCTGGTATTGGGGATCGAACTGAGGACCTTCTGCTTGTGAGACAGGCATGGCACCACTGAACTAAATCCCCCAGGCCAGGTCTCAGTTTTCTTTATTGCTGGTTTGGGATTTAGCTCTCATGGCCTGATTAGTGAATTATCTATCTGATTTTCATCTTCCAATATATCATTGCTGTGGTTTTATTTCCAATTATTCTTGATTTTTATTTACATTTTAAATCTCTTCACTGTAGTTTTGGTGGAGTTAGGGAGGGAGCAAAATTAGATGTGTTTAATGCCACTTTACTTTCTACATTTTTGTTTTGTGATGAACATTCTTTGTTGTTTTACTGCATAAAATTGCCTTTCAGATTGATGAAGATTTTCAAGTGACAATATCAAATGATGGTTACAACTGTGGTTGAAAGGGTGGGAGTACAAATTGGTACAACATTTCTAAACACTAGTATTTCTCTAAAATCTTACAAATGTACCTATTTTTAAAACAAAAGTCACACCTCTAATAATTTATTCTAAAGAAATAATTTAGCTTTAAGGATGCTCATTGCAGCCTTGTTCTTGATAATGAAACAATTTTCAACAATGGAGAGCTGATTAAACTACGCTTTCATAAATCAGGTATATAGTAATTAGAAGGTACTTAAAATTATATTGTAGAAGCAAGCTTCTCAAACAGCACTACTCCAGAGAATTCATAGAACATTTCCCAAGGGGTACATGAGGCTATAGGAAAAACTTAACTCATCTTCATCAAGCATGAATGCTGCGGGTGCTTTCTAGTTACCCATCCCAATGTTCATTCTCTCTTTCTGCTGCAGTAACAGGATCCTGATATGTAATGTGGGTATTGCTGCTCAGAATAATAACACTACATTTTCCCCTTCTCTGTTGTAACTAGGTTTTGTTTTAGAATTAAATGCACACCAAAAAAATGTTAAGTGTTGGGAGGGACTTCAGGGAGACAAGGTGAAGAGCTGATGGGGACCACTTTGCTACTTCCGCACTTAGTCTTCCCCTTTAAATTTTTTTAATATTATTAAGTGAAAATGAATATTAAAAAGTTGAAAGGTCTGGCCAGTTCCAAGTCGAGGAGAGTAGGAAGACGTGAAAAGGGGGTGAGGGTATCTATAAGAGTCTTAGTTACACAATGCTAATTTTCCTTTATGATTAGGCCCAATTTGAAAAGGCTGATGAGACTCATATAAATTGCTTGTGGTAGAGGCTTCTTTTTATGTTTTTACTGTGCCTACTTAACGCATCTTTCAGACTAAAGGAGATCAGGTGTGAGGCTCTTTCCCTTTGTAGAACCTATGATGCCCGCCCACCTCCTCTTCCCACATTAGCCTAGGATCTCATCAGGGTTTCCAGATTTCTAAACGGTGCACACTGATTAAGCCTCTCTGAGGTATCAGAAAACGTGCATTTACCTGAATTTTGGACAGGTTTGGTCCCAATTCCTATTTAGACTTTGGACCAGCGATGACCATTGGGCCAGACTGATAGAGAAGGCGCTTGCTACAAACCAATCCTGGGAGTAGGGGCGGTGTGAGTCTGGGCCCCGCCTCTCCGCAGAGCCAATAACTCGGAACGGGCTTTCAGGAGGCGTGGCGCGCCTGGCTGGCAATGTCGTGATTGGCTCGCTGGCTTCCACTGCGCCCGCCGGCCCGGACGTCTAGCTCCCCAGCGAGTAAGACCTTCAAAGTTTGTCCCCTCCGGAGCACCGTAAAGGCTTTGACCCGGGCCTGGGTGAGCTGGGCTGGGCCCCGGAGACCCTGATGGCTGCGGTGTTTCTGGTGACGCTCTATGAATACTCGCCGCTCTTTTACATCGCTGTGGTCTTCACCTGCTTCATCGTGACCACCGGCCTGGTCCTGGGATGGTAAGTGTCAGGGTCGGTGCGGGAACCTGTATTTCACCAGCTTTGTTTCGAGGCGACTCTGCAGCCAGGAAGCGCCTGGACTTGGTGTTGGGATAGTGCAGGTCCAGCGGCTTTGTCCCCGCCCGGGGCCTGCTGTGGGCCGGGGGGAGCGGTCACCCGTCGTCAACAGGGCTGACTGTTGTGTTTCCGACCTGAACTGGAAACTTGGCCGCAGATCTTTCAGCGGAACTCACAGCTGACTTCTGTTACCTTTTGAGAATTGTGGTTTCCATGCTCATTGTTTACCTTTGGAATTAATATTTAGCCAGTGGGACTATAAAAATAAAATTATGAAGCTGGACGAGACCTTAGAATTAAGTTACACAGTGGGGTGAGGCAGTTTACCTGTTTGAGGTGAGGAGAATTGACTGTTGGATAACCACCAAGTAGGTCTTTAGGCCAGGGAGTCTACAGTCTCTCTCTTGAAGAGATGGCACTGTACCAAGTTTAGGAAAGCTTTATAAATACACACTGGTTGACACCATCTCACTATCCCACAAGAGTTTCCTAGCCTTCATAGCTCCTCGAAAAGGTGGGGTTCAAAATGTGCTGAACAGCTTGTGCAGGTAGGTAACAAGCCACGGCCTGAAGAGGTATGAGAGGGCCCCACCGAAGAGACTTGAGCTGCGTTTTGGAGAATTAGTATTCTGAAGAATAGTTGAATGTATTGAAAAAGAGAGATCATTTTAGAGAACACAGCATGAGCAGAGGAGGAGGAGGTGTTAGTAACTAAAGGAGACTTTGTAAAACAAGTTCACAGATCTCTTTTGATCACATATTTGACCTAACTTTAAGAGAGCAACTAACTAAAGTTTAACATTTCCGCACTGCTCCCCACCCCACCAGTGGGTGAGCATAGAATTTCTTTGTGGGGGAAGATAAAGACCAATCTTACACACTTTGTTGCTCTTGACCCATCAGGTTTTAATGCTGTAACTCATTAAAGAAAGTTTGTAATTGGAATTAGGAAGGTGTCAAATGAGAAAAGCAGTCTTAACACAAGATTTTAAAATGACTATAATGTTGATATTATTCTAAAGCAACATAATTTCTCTCCATAAAAAAATCATTACCTAGCTGATTATATGCTTATGTTTTTATTTTAAATAGGCCAGGTAATTAGGTATCTTAGACATTAGCGTTTCGCATTAGGAAAATTAATGAAAACTGTGTTGACAACGATTCTGACATCAGTGTTGAGGGGAGTCAGGTACCTCACATTTGTACCAGTTATAATGGAGTCACACAGACCTAGGTTCAGATCCTGGTTCTGCCAGGTTTAAATATTTACTAATTGCTTAATCACTTTTATAAGGGTGGAAGCCCAGGTAATTTTCAAACTTCTAGAATCTAGGCTGAGCACTGCTGTGCCCACAGGGCCACGAAAGTGCAGTCACTTCCATTCTGATTTGGGCTGAACCAGTCATTTTGAGCCTAATTCAAGCATTTTTTTTTTTCCTCCTGGTTTAGCTTTGCCTCTGTAGATAAACTTTTTACTGTGTTACTCTGAAATTTAGCCAGGGCTGCAGATGTATTAGCTAGAAACTGAACACTTGGATACCATTTTGATTTCACAAAACATCTTTCTAATAGTACTCCTGCCGGAAGAGTAAAGCAGATCACCCACTACAATCCCCATTCGTCCTCTCTTTGCTTTGTCATGGTTCTCAGTACTGCTGAGTTTCTTTCCCCTTAGGTCTCTCCACTGCACCAGTGGGAGTAGAGAAAGAGCAGGAGCAACTGCTTGTGACCCCAGTGCAATGGCAAAGAATCATGCAGCCGGAAGTATGGTACCTGGTGGTTTCTGTGAGCTTTAAGAGCTCCTGCCAAGCATTGTGCAAAAAGAAGCCCATATACAACCTTCCACAGTTTGAAGTCATCAAGGGCCCTGACCCAGCAACTACTCCCCACCTCCTCTTGACTGTAGGACAGGCTGTTGTGCTGTTTGTCCATATCACGCCACCCTTACACATTGTGGATGTGAGGTGAAACTCTAAGCCATGTTTCTCCTTTCCTAGCCGGCCGCCTGTATCAGGCTTTAACAACAAGGGAGACAGACTGGAGGGGTAGCAGAGGACACAGGGACTTGCTGCTTTCTGCTTGTTTTCCCAAAGCAACAGTGCTACTGTAGCAGTGATCTCAGTTGTTCCAGTTCATTATTTTCTACTCCCCTGGAACCAGTCTCACTGCACCCCTTTTCAAGGTACCAGTATCATCTTTAGATCTGAGTGCTAGCTCCAAGGGGTCCATACTCCAGATTTCTAAACTGTAGTAATTCTCTTTTCCATATTCCTTTATCTTAGGAATAATAGCTGCTTCCTGCTGTTACTACGGCTTTGATACTCACTTTCCCCTTTTACCTTTTTAGTTCTTCAGCATTTGGTTCATTTTTTTGCCCCAATGAACCCAGGGCCTTACTGCATGCTAGGTGAGTGCCCTAACACTGAGCCATGCCCCTAGCTCTGTTTAACATTTTTTAAACATTAAATTCTGTATGTTAGAATAACTGGCGTGATTTTGGTCTTTTGACTGGGCCCTGACTGATAGCAAGTGTTACGAAGAATGGGATGGTGGGGAGAAAACCCCCTCAAAGATAGCATTTAGGGGTTGGTTCATTCTTCACTTCCTTGCTAATGAGTAATAAAGCTCACCGTGGCACATAATGGCATCATTATGTATTAATTAAATCACTACCTTTGGTTGATTGCGATAAAATGACTTCTGAAGCAGATGCCCTGGGGTACCAAGTGGTTAAGCGCTTGGTTACAGGAGTAATGGTGACTTGAAGGACTGAGGGAGAGGTAAGATGATTGCTTCTGAGCTTGCTGGTGCACTTTCAGAGAGAAAACGACAAGCCCAAGTCTTAGATTCTGTTTCTGTGGTTCTGAAGCACTTTATTTTATGTAGCCACAGAATCAAACCTTCCAAGCATTGAACCCAGTTTTAATTGTGCTGGTAACAGAATTGCACAGCCTTTTCAGAGTCTTTTAGGACACTGACTGAAAGAAGTTGAGCCCGAGGCTTGGAATGGGGACATCTAGATAGACATGAACAAAGATGAGAATCTTGAAACCCCAGTACTAACTGACTTCCCTAGTTGACAGAGACAGTTTGCCTTCCATGTGTGAGAAAGCCAGCTTTGTCTTGCCCAAAGTTCCCATGACGACCTCAACCAGGGCCGTGGTGAAGGGATATCCGTACCTTTCTTAGGTCCTGCCTTTCACCCTGGGACCAAGATCTCTGAAGCAAATATCTGCCCTCTGAAAGAATTGTGAAGCTTTGTAAACTTTTTTATCTGCAGGAGCCTAGGGAATTATGCGTGACAGTGGATTGTTAGCATATTACATCAAAGAGGGTAGGATGTAACACTATATCAAACCAAATTTATCGACTTGCATATATTCTCAAGAAATTCTGGATCCAAAGTGTTAACTTCTGTTTGTTTGCTTGGTTGACTGAAACTTAATTGATTCAGTGGTGGCCAGTATTTAATAAGAGTTGGAGATGTTTCATGCTTTTTGTTTTTTTCTTTTATTTTGGTTCTGAGGATCGAACCATTTAGGGCTTTTAAAATTTCCCTGTAAATGTATTGTGTTATCAGTGTCCCACAAATTTTGGTATATGTGTTTTCATTTTATTCAGTTCATAATTTTAAAAATCTCCTTTATGATTTTTTCCTTATCTCTAGGTTAGTTAAAAGTTTGTTATTAAGTCCAAATATTTGGATTTTAAAGGATGTCTTGGTTATTGATCTATAATTTGATTCCATTGTGGTCAGAGACATACTTTTCATAATGTGATTTGTAAGTTTATTGAAACGTGTTTTATTTGGCCAAAATATATGGTCTCTCTTTGGTTAATCTTCTAGTCACTTAAAAAGGACATATATTTTGCTACCATTGAATGAAGTGTTGTGTAACTGTCAATTGGGTCAAATTGGTTGATGGCATTATTCAAGTCTGCAGTTCTTACTGATTTTCTGTCAGTACTACCAATTATTGAGCTGTTGGGGAGAGTTGGAATTTCTCTGTTTTTCTTTTTCTTTTTTTCTTTTGCAACTGAGTAAGTTTTTAGTTCATATTTTGAAGTTCTATTAATAGATACATAAACAGGGCTTTTATGCCTGAATGATGAATTAACCCCTATATCATTATGAAATGGGCCTCTTTACCCCTTGTAATTGTCTTTGCCCTGTTATCTACTTTGAACACTATTAATATAGCCACTCCAGCATTTATTTTTCCTGTGCTGGGAATCAAATCCAAGCCTTGCGAGTGCCAGGCAAGAGCTCTACCACTAGCTACATCCCTTGCCTCTCCTGCTTTCTTTGATTAGGGTTAGCAGGTATATCTTTGTCCATCCTTTAATTATAATGTATTTTGTCTTTATATTTTAAGTGAGTTTTTTATACACAGTTTATAATTAGGTATTATGTTCTTATCCATTCTGATTATATTTATCCTTTAGAATTTAAATTACTTACATTTGATAGGAAGACTGCTAGGGCTAGATGGAAGGCCACCATCTAGCTATTTGCTTTCTATTTGCCCTATCTGTAGCTTTTCTTTTCCGCTCTTATTCTTTATTTGCATTAGTGAAGTAACTTATGTTCATCTGTCAGAAGTAACTTGTTTTAGTGGTTGCTTTGGGGTTTGTAGTATACCTCTAACTTTTAAGTAGTATTTTTAAGATCTTTAAATAATAAGAAAAATGTATTTTCCCGCAGTTACCATTTCTGTGCTGTTCATGTCTTTGTATCAATACAAATTGCCATTTGGTTATCAGTCACTGTCTTCCCAAAGACTTCTTTTAATATTTCTTGTTAAGCATATCTATTGGTGATTAATTCTTTTTAGCTCTCTTATGCATAAAAGTATTTATTTTGCTTTTGAAAACTATAGGTATAGAATTCTAGATTAATGATTTTTTTTTTCCTTTAAAGGTATTCAGGCTTTTAGTAATTCTAATAAGAAAAGTGTCATTCTTTATTCCTCTGCAAGTAGTACATCTTTTTCTTTGGCTTCTTTTAAAATATTCTTTTTCACTCCTCTCTCCTTTTATCAGTGTTTTATTGTTAAAGACAGGTGAGTCCACTGTTTTGTGCAGCCTTGCACTTCAGCAGTTACACAGAACACAAGGACCTATGTCTTGTCACATTACATTCTACATGAGAACCTGGTCAGGTTATAACATTTACCATCAACCGTTACATCAGTGTGAAAAAGTACAGTGTCAAACCAAAAAGTGTAACTAGTTGCATGAATCTCACCATGCTCTAACATGTCAAGGTCATTGCAAACGAAAAGGCGCATTATGAAAGTCTGCCTTGATTGAATGCACCAGAGTAAGGTTCAACACATCAGTGCAAAAGGACTTCAAGAATTTACATGGTTAAACAAAAGAAAAAATAGGAACCTCATCTGGCCTCTTCTTCACTTACACAACAATGATCAGCACAAGGATGATGATTTCAACCTAACTTGCCAAGAAAGACAAGAGGATGGTGCCACGGAGGCAGAGCCGATGGAGTTAGTGGCATTATGATCACATTCGTACTCGCCGGGGCCTTCTGCGATCTGGAGATTTGGAGTACACAACACAGTGAAGTCTCCTTGTTGATAATGAAGACACGGCAGGAGGTATTGGCAGTCTGCACAGGCATCTCATTCTCCTTGTGCCAGATGCACCCTGAGTGGGCACAGGCTGCTGACTCGCAGTACATCGTGGCATCCTGCCCTTCATTCTTGTTCTCAAACCATTTATGGGCAGTGATATCAGAAACTGCTTTCACTTCCATGGTGGCGTTTGCACTCGAAGCGCTGACAGAGTGATAGACTGGTGTTCGCCTGGGTCCTCTGCTCTCAGCCTGTGGATCCTGGATTCCACATTGCTGGCATCCTCACAAGTGTCAGTCAGTTGCACCCACTCTTTGTCCAGTAGCTGAAGCCAAGCATGTGGGAGCTGGAGGTGAGGTTACACTGCAAGGTGCCCGGGACAGGGGTGTTTCGAATAAATGACGTCCTCACTGGTGACAATCCTTGGCCCATTCTAAGTGGCACCCGGCCCTGGGTGGAAGGAGGCAGAGACCAGCAACAGCCAGAGGACCAGGGCGCTGGGGAGCGATGTGCTTGACGTCCTCCCGAGCAGAAGATGGGCCAGCAGCCCCAGCTCTGCTCGGGCCTTCTAGGTTCTACCGCTGCTGCGCTCAAGCCCTGCGAGACTTTTCCCAATCTTCATGAGACCTTTGCTCTGGGCCGTGTTCCTAATATGTCTGGTTTTAAGCAATATGATTATTATATACCTAAGTGTGATTTTGTTGTTGTTTCTTATGCTTGGAGTTTATTGAGATTTTTGGATCTGTGGGTTCATACTTTTCAACAGATTTGGCAGCTATGTGTTCAAATGCTGTGTCAATGCCCTAACTCTGAAGACTTCAGTTACCTGGGTGTTATGATGCTTGAAGTTGTCTCTTGATCGACTCGTGTTTTGTTTATTTTTGTTCAGTGTTTTTTTTTCTATTCCATTTTGAGTACTTTTTAAATAGTGTTGTCTTCGAGTTTATTCATTTTTTTGTTCTGCGGTGTGTAGTCTGCTGCTAATCCCTCACAGTGTACTTTTCATCTCTAACATTGTATTTGTGAGCTCTAAAACTGGATTTGGACCTTTTGTCTTCTGTGTCTCTATACAGTATGCTCAGTCTTTACTCACCTTCCTGAAGATATGAAATATAACAACTATTGATGTCCTTGTCTATTAATTCTACTCTTTATCATTTCTCATCTGTTTCTACAGATTAATTTCTGTCTTCATGATGGTAATATTTTTCTGCTTCTTTGCACGACTGTTTATTTTTTTATTAGCTGCAAAACATTGTGAATTTTACCTTACAGGGTGCTGGGCGTTTTAGTATTCCTATAAATATTCTTGAGCTTTGTTCTGGGTCACAGAACAAAGTTACTCGGGGACCAGAACACCCCTACCTAACTGTTAAATTAAATGCATCATCCTGGTGAATTTCTATTCCACTTGTTAACTTTCTCAGCCCTCTCTTAACATTAGATTTATTGGTAGGTTTTGAAATTTTAGTTTGCAACTTAAATCTTAGTGGAGAGGTTTGTTGTTGTTGTTTTTTAATTTTGTTTCTCCCTTTAATTTTATCCTCACTATTTAGCCATTTTATCATGATCTGTATCCAGATTCCTAAACACCCGTCCCCAGTCCAGGACCAAGTCTGTCCCGGGTTGACAATGACCTCACCCAGCTCTGGTGTTGAGGACCTGATGGACAGCCCCCCTGCCTCCCTAGTACATGAAATCCTGGTTGCCTCTTCCCACTACTAGACTCAGAGGCCATCCAAACATGCATCGGTCTTCATGTGTTTCTATTTTCAGGTCCATAAATATACTTGTCTTTAAACCCACCTTTGTCTCTTTTCCCCAAACATTTTATTATAAAAAAATTTTCGAACATTCAGAACTCCAGAAAGAACTGTACAGGGATCACACGTTTACCCATCACTTCTACCATAATTTTTTGTTGACATCTGCCCATTCTAACCATCAGTCCATTTGCTTCAGGATGCACTTCAAAGTAAGTTGTACTTTCTACCCACAAGTTCTGGAACATGAATATTATTAGCTGGAGTTCACTGTTTGTTTCTGTTTATAGCTCTTTTTCTTTTTGAGTAATATTTATAAGCAGTTAAATGTGCAGATTTTAAGCCTCCCATTTGCCAAGGGTCACCAACCACATGATCTACACATTCAAACTTCCATTACCAAGGCAAGTCTCCTCATGCTCTTTCCTGGTCCTTTCCTGGTCCTGCACTCCAAGAAGCTGCCGTTGTTCTCCTGTTTGTCTCTCCCCTAGGTTAGTTCTGCATACTTTAAAGAGAGTCATGCTGCATGTGCTCTTTGTGTAAGGCTTCTTTCCTACAGCAGGATGTTTTGAAATTTACCTAGGTGATCACAGCAAAATACTGGGGTTTTTTTCCCCTCAGTGCTTAGCACTACTATTCCTTTGTTTAAATATATCCACTTGTTTACTTATTTCAGCCTCACCATTTTGATTTCCCTTTTATTTCTCATCTGTCAATTCTGTGTACTTGGAGAGGAGGGAGCTCATCAAAGTATGAACCTAACTGAAGTCTCCTAGTTTAATGTGTGTACTCATTTTAGGTTACTTTACTTAAACTGAGTGAACTTAGCTGGTTTTTTCTTTTTTTTTTTTTTGGTACCAGGGATCAAACTCAGGTCCTTGCGCTTGTGCAGCAGGCAGTAAAACCACTGAGCTAAATCCCCGGCCCTGGTTTTTTCATTTTACTAGAAATTAAGTTTAGTCCCTTTCATTTTCCTTTCAAATCTGTTCAGTTAGAGTTCTTTTTATTTGAAATTTAAAAGTGGAAAATATATAAATGAAGCATTGTGTTTGGTGTTTCAATAATTGTTTTGCTCTGCCAATCAGATAGCCTATATATTGACTATGTATTTCTTTTTAACATCTTTGTAAAATACTTAAAATTCTATAATGTCTTTGCTTTTATATTAAGTATAATTTATCTGTAATCAGTATGCTCTTTTGTTATAGTTAATATTAAGAATTAACTCTTTGGGGCCAGGGATTTAGCTCAGTGGTTCCACCGCCTGCTGCGCAAGCACAAGGACCCGAGTTTGATCCCTGGTACCAAAAAAAGAATTAACTCTTTGGTTTTAAGAGTGTGTCCATTCAGCCACATGAACAATATATTGCAACTCTGTGGGACCTTAAATTTCTCTAAATTCTAAATTAATTCTGCAAAACAGTGTAAATTGAGTACCTTAACCTCTGTTTCAGACAGGTTAAAAGGAATAGCTAATGAAGTGTTACATACTTTACATCTGACATAAAGTTTCAATACTTGCTAAAATTATGTTTTGTTTTTTCCTTTCTTCAGGTTTGGTTGGGATGTTCCGGTAATTCTGAGAAATTCCGAAGAGACCCAGTTCAGCACAAGAGTTTTCAAAAAGCAAATGAGACAAGTGAAGAATCCTTTTGGCCTAGAGATCATGAATCCATCCACAGCTTCAATTACAAGTTGGTGACTATTTACAAAGATTTCCTCTTGCTGTGTATTCCCCTTCAGCCCGTTTTCTCTTTCTCTATTGCTTTCTCTTTAATCTTTTGTCAAACATTTATTGAGCACCTGTTTGTTCCAGGTTCTAGACTGAATACTGCAGATACAAAGATTAAGAATTTAACAGCTTTCTTCTAAGGAATTTATCACCTCGTAAACAGAGAGAGACACTTACCCAAGAGGAGAATGGAATGTCGCAGGTTTGTCTTAGGACACTGTGCCACTTCTGTTGGTCTTTAGTTAAGTGGGAAATGGCAGTTATCTAAGTACAGTTAATATAAGGTTGCTGTCTTCTGAAGAACAGTGATCTTTTAATCTGAAATTACGGTATTTTGGTAGAAATTCTTTTCATGTGTTATTTTTGTGGATGATAATAATGGATGACAATTGTTTCTGTATTTTACTTGGAAAAATAAATTTTTGACAGGAACATTTAGAAACCATTGTAGGGAATTATAAAGAAAGAAATGGTGACCTTTGCTGAGATGAAATCTATTCAGGAAAGGCTTCCTAGAAAAGAATATGCTAAGTCTCAGTTTTAAAAAATTTTTTCCTTTTTTTTTTTTTTTTTTTGGAGTCGTATTGATTAGAAGATAATACCTCCAGTTTAAGAAACTTCGAGGTAGAGGGCAAAGCATGAACAAAGTTGTGAGATAGTTTGGAAACAGAATAATACCTTAGAGAAACAAGAAGTCACTTGTTGGGGATAAACAGGGCAGACAGGAGAGGGAGCACAGCCCGGCGACTCAGGTTCTCAGCACGGTCTCGGAGGGTTTGCAAGAAGGGTAGCACTGGAAGAAGGGTGGTGAGCAGTTTTGGACTTGCAGAGTCCAGGGCGCTCTTGGGAGCGTTCAGTAGTGTTGAGAGTAGGGAGCTCTAGGTGCAGTTCCGTGGCCACCAAAGGGCTCTCGGCTGAGACCCACACCTTTCACTCTTGCTCACCTTTCAGGTATCTTAGAAACAAATAGATTATTCTAGCTACTGCCCTGTTTTCTTCTTTCTTTCTCGCCAGCTTCTTAAGTAAAAGCTTTGCATTCACCTTCTCCTCTTCCCTTTTACTCCCTCGAGCAGTGCAGTCTGACTTTCCCTGGGACCCTGGACTGAAATGGCTTCTCAGGATCACTGGTCACCACCTCTGTCCCCAGCCTGTGACCGCCAGGAGTCATCACATTCGTGGAGGCTTTTTGGGCCTGAGTTGATGTGCTCTCTGGAGTATTTAGCAGAGTTCATGAGTCCTTCCCTTCTTGACATCATGTCCCCTGACTTCTGTGGACCGTTTGTGTTTGTTTTATTTTGTTTGGAGAACTGGGGATTGAACCCAGGGCTTTACACTGAGCTACTTTCCTAGCCCTTTTAAAATTTTTTATTTGTACACAAGGTCTCACTAAGTTCCTTAGTCACTTGGGATGATGATCTTCCTGCCTCAGCCTCCCAGAGTGCAGGAATTACAGGCATGTGCCACCAGGCCCAGCTCTGAAGCATTCTTACCTAGTACAGTGAGTCCCCGCCTTGGTTGATAAGTCAGGTTCGTTCATAAGTCCAGCAGAGTGAGTCTTATACACCTTTGACACATACAGTGTAAAGTGTGAAAACGCTTCACATGTTCCGTGATCTTGTCCTTGTTCTTTAGAATTGTGCCAGTGGTTGAACGATTCATGTTGTAAGAACAAGCAACGTCTACCATCTTTTTGCCTTGGTCTAGTCTCTCAGTTATTTTCCCTTTGTCTCCATGTTTTTGCCTTGCACTTCCTAGCGGTACCCTCCACATCACCACACAGCTTTTCCTCTTGCTCCTGACTCCCTGGGCTCTGACTGAGCACTGTACCACTTTGCTCTATTGCTCTGACAGTGAGCACCCAGCAGCATAACCGTGACAGTGTCCGGCAGACACGTAAGCTACTCCTTCAATTTGTTCACATCTACAAATGTTTGTAACGTGAGGTCAGTTCACATCTATGAAAGTTCACAATGTGAGTGTTTGTAAGTCAGGGACTTACTGTCATCCTTATGACTTCTGACTTCCAGAATCTAATAACCTGTCAGAAATCAGTGTACTTAGTCACCATTGATCATTAACTTTGAGTAAATCTTGATAGAAAGGAAAAAAAGTACCAAATGTCACATTCTTCCTCCTTAACTGTAAATAATGCACCCTGTGAATTGAAAGAACCAAGACCATTTTCACCCCTGATAGATAGTAAGTAGATAGGAAGAGCTCACTCTGGTGTTTTGTACCTCAAAAAAGTAAATGTTAAGATAGGACACAGAGAACACTGATTTGTTGAGAAGACAGCAGACTGTGCACTTGATGAATACAGAATAGTGGTGGCTTAGCAACCTCCACCTCAGTGGCTTTGGATGTGAACCTGCTACAGTGTCACATGTGGCTCTTGAGCAGGCCTGCAAATAAAGATACCTCTGACTGGGAAGCATCCTTGCTGTAGTCCAGCTCCGCTGCCTGCAAACATTGAGAAAGTGTTGAGAGCTGCTATGATGTAAGCAAAGCTCAGGACACCTGTGAGCCGGAAGTGGGAGGAGACCCATCATTCTGCCTTTCCGGTAGAGCAGAAACATTCAGACATCTGCCAGCCCTGCACATGTTTGAGGCACATGGAAAAAGCCAATCCACAGACCTCAAGTGTGCCCACATGCCAGCTGAAGCATTACTTAAGTACATGCAGAAACATTTTTTCCAATGGGTGGACTTTGGCATAACAACTGAAAATTTGCAACTTTTAAAGTGCCAGTGCTTGTTGTTCATTATCTGTCTTCTATAGGGAAAATAAGGATTTTGGTGGGAGTTGTACTTAGTGGAATAAAATTCATTTGTTTAATCTGTAGAAAGGAGGGTGTCATTAAAGATGTTTCCACAGGTTGCTGAGATAATCTTGTGACGATATTTGTGACATTTTAAAAGGTTCTTTTTTTTTTTTTTTTTAAATCAGGGATCAGATTCAGGACCTTGTGCTTTGGAGGCAGGCGCGGTACCACTGAGCTAAATCCCTGGCCCTAAGGTTGTTTCATTTGATGTGTAGATAGTTTAATAATCTAGGATTTTTTTTTAACCACTGTACCCAAAGTGTCTGACATTAGGCAGAGAGGGGGAGAACTTCTAGAAACCTGATTTAACTTGAAAACAAAGGAGAGAGTCAGTTTTAATCTTAGTTCCTTAGTTCTGTTTATGAGAAGTAGGTTATTGGGATTTTTTTATTAGTATATAATGATATTGTGTTTGGATTTGTGCTTCTGTGTTCCCAAGATAGGCTTTAAGAAATTTTAAAGGTATTTGGTAGTATTTGTTGAGTTGAATTAATTTGGTTCAGGAGTTTTGTCATTTTACAAACAGCTTCTTTGATTTTTAGCTTATTCACCATGTTAAGAGCTAATGTAAACCAAGAAAGTTGAGCAGACTAACACGCATAGCATTCTGGGAGGCGTTTGTGAAATTCTATTCCTGCAACCTAAAATCTCATCTCCCAGCAACGTGGCTTTATTACCATCATGCCTGGTCTCCTATACACTATACCTCTTACACCTTGAGGTTTGCGGCTCTCTGTCCCCTTGTTTCTTTTTTCCCCAGTGACTCAATGCATTAGAGTAACACTGTCTGTGGGTGTTTTTTAGCTTTTTACAAAGTTGTCTCATACTTTGCTTTATTTCCCTGTTGCAGCTCTGCTGAATAAGAGCAAGCTGAAAGAAGTTGCACCATTTTCTTCGCTTAATTTTGACTCTAAATCTTCCGCTTTAAAACAGCTGTGTCCCAGTTCTATTGGCGTTATAGACCTAAAATGGTTTTGTGTGTACACTGGAAGTTAGAAGACTAAGAAAATGTAAAAGTGGGAACTCTGTAGAAGTCAGAGGATAGTTTTGCATGGGAGTATTTGAACCATTGTCAGATGGTATAAATCACTAATTCTTTTATTTATGTGATCAAATTTATGAAAGGATGTGGAAAAGAGAATTTTACAGTTCTTTATATTAACTTCCAATGTTAGTTAAAGAGGGACATGAAACTTAATATTCCATCGTCAGAGGCCTCAGGCACTTCCTTCTGGTACACACAGTCTGCAGCAAGTGTTTTATGCAACTCTGAGTCTCTGTGCTCTTTTTTGGAGCTCTGGTTTTTGTTGTTTGGGGTTTTTTTGGTACCAGGGATCGAACTCAAATCCTTGCGCTTGCGCAGCAGGCGGCGAAACCACTGAGCTAAATCCCCAGCCCAAGCTCTGGTTTTTTATAAAACAAGTAAACCTGATAGCTGTGTATGTTCCCTAAGTTGAGTATTTTTTAAAGGCTTTTATCCTGCCTCCTGCCACCACACCCCGCCAGCGCTGGGAATCACACCCCAGCATGCTGGGCAGGTGTTCTACCACTGAGTTACATCTTCCACTCCCATATTCTTTTCAAAGGTGAACAAATATATATAGGTATCCTCTTAGGAGATAAACAATATTGTGCACATACATGCATACGTATGTGTACGTCTCTCTACCTTGCTTTTTCATTTAATAATATAATCTGAAGATCATTTTATATTTGTTTTTGTTTTTGTTTTTGTTTTTGGTACCGGGAATCAAACTCGGGTCCTTGCGCTTGTGCAGCAGGCGGTGAAACCACTGAGCTAAATCCCTGGCCCAAGATCATTTTCTATTAGTACATATACATATTCTAATATGCCTCAAAAATTTTTTTTGGTGGTAGTGGGGCTTGAACCCAGGATCATCTGCATATGCTACAGCAAGTGCTGGACTCTACTTGTGATCCTCCTGGCTCAGCCTCCTGAGTGGCTGGTATTATTATAGCCATGTGCCACCCTGATCAGCTAAAAAAAATGTATGTGTTTATTTATTGTTGTGGACCTAGGGATCAAACCCAGCACCCTAGCTGAGCTGCATCCCCAGCGTGCCTCAGTTCTTGTTTAATAGCTGCACAGTACTGGCCTGTACAGTATTTTATTCGTATAATCCCTGCTGATGGACTTTAGGGTTGCTCCAGTATCTTGGCTGTGATGGCTCACCCTGCAATGCATGTATCTTTCCACATTTTTGCCAATAGGACAATAATATTAAAGTAGTTACTTTCGGGTCTATTTTTCCCTCCGCTTTTTCACATGTTTTTTCTAGTTTTCTTTTTCCTGTCTATGTCCAGTTTTTCTCTCCTATCTCATCTTGTGGGGGTCACAGAGAAGAATATATGTGATTTCATGTGTATGTGATTATATCTGTACAAACTGTTTTCCAGTTATTGAATAGCTAATAGAATGTCCCATTCTTGAGTAATACCTGATGATTGGAATCATATAAAAATTTGCAATCAAATTCTGCTCCAGCTGCCTATGTAGCTCTCCTACCAATTAAAATTCCACCTGCCTGATTAGAAACGGCCACGGCACTGCCGCTGAGCGTAAGCAGAATCTCAGACCCTGTGTCCGTCCGTCCACTGAATACTGAGGAGGGAGAACCTCAAGGTTTGGTTTTTTGGGCAGCATTTTCTTACATGCATGTGTTTCCTCCCCACACGTTCTTTTCATCACAGTTTTCAAAAATGAAAAAGATGTCAATCAGAATTTCTGCTAGCAAATAATGGAAAAGATTCCAATAAAATGCTCCTGGGTAGCTCATAGAATTGCTGCTAGGTTTAGAGAGACAAACCAAGCTCCTCAGCCCGACACAGTGACCCAAACTGGTGCCCTTGTGGTCTAGTCCAGCACACCTCTGCCACTGAGCACTAAATGTTGCAGCTTGCCCTGCCACCAGTGAGACACTGGATGTCCTGGATGTCGCTGTCCTAGAACTTGATAATGCTACAGTTGCCACCGGTGAGGAGAAATTATCACATTGGTAGCACCTAGTAGGTCCTATATAAATGCACAATAATAAATAACTATATAATTTGCATGTCTGTTTACAATTAATGTATCCACTTGTCAAATGTATGCAAATTGTACTCTTTTCTTCCATTAAAAACAAACAAATAAGGATATTGATATGGAACCCTTTACGTTTTGGAATCCACACTCTTTCCTAGGCTATTTTGCATATTATATGGGACATTAGCTGTGTGACAGACTATTAAATGTTATAAATGTGGTTATGAGTATTAGTAAAGCTCAATTTCTTCTGCATGTCTTTCTTACCTCAGTGACCCTCTTCTGGGGCCCATGGGTTGGGTCCACTTCGGGAGATGACTGTGCCCTGCGGTCCTGTTTCTTGTCACTGGGGTTATCTACACTCAGAGTGGGACACAGCTTCGAGTCACTGAAAAAGAAAGTCAGACTGATAAACTCTAAGCTGAAAATATAAGCAGGAAGAAAAATAGTGCTCAAAAACCATAGTGAGACTGAAAGTGAGTGGCAGCCCCCTTATTTCTAGGTATGTAGCCTGCTGCTGTCAGCGGGCCCTTCAGTCACCGGCAGCCTGGCCAGCACCTGAAAGGACGCTCATGTTTCGCACCCTCCAGAGTTGTACCACAAGTTACCTGAGGTGATTTCCATTCTCTTCTTGCTTTGTTTCCTGCAGCCGGCCTAACACTGACAACAGACTGTCTTGAAGACAGCCACCTTACATGCTATTGGGGCTGCAGTGTCCAGAAATTATACGAAGCGCTGCAGAAGCACGCGTACTGCTTCCGGATCAGCACTCCGCAGGCGCTAGAAGATGCCCTGTATAGCGAGTATCTCCACCAAGAGCAGTACTTGTATCCTTTTACCCAGTGTTCCCTTTAGCATGCAACAACGGGACTTCTCGGCATACAATGAAACATTACTGGGTTATTACTTATCTTTGGTGTATTTTTATTCTTTGGCTAGAGTGGCAATTTGCCTTTACGTTTTCAAAAAGTATTAAAAAGGACAGCAAAGAAGAAATATATTGCCAGTTACCAAGAGACACTAAAATTGAAGACTTTGGGATGGTGCCCAGATCTCGTTATCCGTTGGTGGCACTGTTGACCTTAGCAGATGAGGATGACCGAGCAATTTATGATATTGTAAGTAGTTTTAAAATTCAGAAAGCATTACCTTGAAGTGATTTAGATGGTGGTTCTTAATTATTTTTTTGAAATAGAAAATTATTTTAATTTCTGAAGATAAGCATTTGGCCTGGCCACATTTTTCTTGACAACTGATGAAATAGGATGCGTGCCTGTGTAATTTTTATAGGTGCAGTAGCACCCTCAGGCTATGACCTGTTTTTCCCTATGGGTCACCAGAATATGACTTTATTTAGAAAATAAAAGATATGTTATTGAGTTAAGTTAATTTTATCTCTTTGTATCCTGTTTGCTAACATGTTAGTACAGAGTAATTAAGCGTAGTGGGCACCTAAAGGGCTCAGTGTTAACACAGTACCCGTCTTCTCATGTAGTTGTAGTCCCTTTGTCTTTATCAGTGCCCTGCTGCTCCGTATGTTCTCAGTAATTACAGTAACCTTGTCTTCTTATTATGTGCTAATTATTGCTTTAGTCTGGTAGTTTAACCCTATTCGGAAGATAAAAGCATCTCGGAGGTTGAAGAGGACTTGAGCCTTGGCTAGCATCTAAGTATGACAGGAATTTGTGCAGGATGAACACACCTCGTCTAAAACTTCGAGATCCAAAATGCTTCAAAATTGAAATGTTTTGAGCACTGACTTAATGTCACAAGTAGAGATTTCCACACCTGACTGCGTCTGGACCAAATGCATGTGTACTAAAATATTGGAGACTGCTGTGCCTTCTGAAGCACTCCAGTCTTCACCTTCACCTTTGACATTGTCTTCTGGCTTCCAGTGGAGACTCTTCAGCCTCCCAAGTACTGGGATTACAGACATGCACCACCATGCCTGGCCCACTCAAGAAGTCTCCTGGGCTCCAAGGTGTCTGGGTCGAAGCCCGCCTGCTGCCTTAAGTCTGTGTTCAGAAGAGGAAGAGAGATTGGTCTTCAGAGTCTGAGGAGGAGCTGCAGGAGGGCCTGCTGGGTCTCTTCTTAGAGGCCTTAGGCTAGCTCCCTGCTTGCTGCCTCCGCTGCCTGTCCAGAAGAAGCAGAAGGATGCCTCACTTGAAGATTCAGAATCAGAGAGGGAACAGGAGGAGCGTCCCCAGGGGGTTCTGACTCAGCCCTGAAGGGCAATCCCAGCCTCTCACCTCAGTCCTGTGGCCAGGAGTGGAAGAGGGAGTGGTCACCGAGGCTAAGGAGGATGAGCAGGGGCGAAAGTCCCTGTGCTTGGACTCAGCCCCCAGGGAAGACATCAGGCTCCCGCAAGAGGTGGGGGGAGTATCTGTGCCTGTCGGGGAAGAAGCAGCAGGTACCATCACCACGGCTAGGCCCGTGCCTTTAATGCACACAAGTGTTGTGGAGAAGCCTTGTGGCCTCAAGAGGAAGAAGAGGAAGCACCTGTCCTCAGTGCTGCCTGAGCACCACGAGGCCTTCACCAAGCTGCTCGAGGACCCTGTCATCCAGGGATTCCTGGCCTGGGACATAAACCTAAAGGCCTCTGACAAGAACTTCTTAGCCACAGTCATTGCCCACTTCAGCTGGGCCGGCCTCTTCCCCTGGCAGTTCCAGAGGATCCACTTCTTCCTGGCGCTCTACCCGGCCAACAACATGGCGCAAGACAACCAGGAGCCTAAACTACACACGTTCTTCTTCCCCTATGGGACGAATTTCCACAAGATCCCCCAGTTCCAGAAGGTGCACTCCCAGTTCACCCGCTGCATGGACTGGAAGCTCAGGGTGACTGAGAGGAGTGTGAGGAGATCAAGCTTACAACCAACCCTGTGCTCTGGGTGTGGGGCTGAGATCGCACCCTCACCCCGGGACCCTGGAGCCCTGAGGACGTCGGCTTCGAAGAAGTGGCCGGGGAGCAATGAAGCAGAGTCACCTCAGCTCACTCCCCAGAGCCAGAGAGCCCATGGCGGAACCATGGGGGACGAGTCTTCCTCTGGCACCAAGATTCCTGTGAATTAGAAGCTGGACATCTGCTATTTTTATAGAGTTGGTTCTCCATAGCCTTGATAGCAATTGGAGATGCCCTGTAGAGTGTCAGGGAATTATTTAAAATATACCAGTAGATCCATAGGCACGTCAAAGATTCCTTTTCTATATTGTATAAACTGTATTGGTTTATTGTAAAATTTGCCCAGAGAAATATTACTATATATATTTGAAGTGAGATATTATGCATACTTGTATTCCTCTTAAAGTGTTTTGATAGGTATTTTAACCGGAAAAAAAAAAAAACTGGATAAAATGCTCTGTAGGCTCTGATTGTAAAGTGTGTTTCAGACAAAGGACTTTCACAGTTAGACTTGGGTCGCCTCCCAGGATATCT